TTATATAATTTTATAGTATTTGAACGAAGAATATTTCTACAATAAGAAGCATACATGGGTTCGACCTGTTTCAGATCAACACTGACTAATTTCGCTTGCATGTTCTTAATATGTGCATATTCAAATGCGTTGTGCTTGAACCGAGCTTCCAACTAAGTTCTTTGCTACAATAATTGCAACATACTTTACAAATATCAACTCCATTTTGAATACCTTTTTTTACATGTTATATGTTGTCAACAATTCGATAATTCTTTTTTTGACCTTTTAATCTCAAGTATTTCTTCATTTTCGAAATCCTCCAAATCAATTGGAATATTTTGAGATGCATCAAAGCCAAATGAAGTACTCGAACTACCCTGAAACTGATTAATCTCATTACTAGTAAAATTCATTTATAAACATTATAGCAAAATATATTGAATATTAGAGTAAAAGAAATTGAATATAAAGGTCTATTTGATTGGAAATGTGAAAAATGAGTGAAAAGAAAATGAATTCCAGATAATTGAATTGCCTAAAAATTGTTTTACTGAGAATTGTAATTAATTGTGTTTGATTGGTATAATGTTTCACTGAAAAATATTGAAAGCTTGGTGCCCGTTTGACTTTGTTTTTCATGTAAAAGTGTAAAACATTCATAAAAGTGATAATTTTTTCTACCGTTGAGTCTAAAATTTGTTCCAATTGTCAAAAAAAAATTAAAATTAAAATTAAAAAAATTACCATACCGAATACGATTCGTTTGGCTTTGTTTTGTATAAAAATTGTCAATAAAAGCGATAATTTTTTTTACCATTGTGTCTAGAATGTTTTTCAATTGCCACAAAAAAAAAAAAAACTAAAAAATGAATTCCCATCAAAACTTGAAGAAAACATTTTCCTTTAAAAGCGGAAATGAGGCGCTTGAGAGTCTGAAGGAAAACTAATTTCAAGTCAAATTGGTGCTATCAAACACTACAATTTGTGGAAATAGAAAAACTTTTCCAATTACCAAGGAAAATTGCTTATATCAAACAGGACCTAAGAGAAAAGAAATTGAAGATTGAAATTAAAACTAGAATACTGCAAATTTTTATGAAACTCAACTAAATTGGAGACTATACTGAATATTAGAGTAAAGAAATNTTGGAGATTGATTGAAATAAATTAAGCCTCTATTTGGGAGAATTTTTTTTCTGAAAATGTATAAGAAATTGGACCGTTAGTGTACTATTGCCTGAAGTTACAGTACACTGCTCACTGTACAAGCAGTGAGAAATCAGAGGCGAATTCCAATTATACCCTTTATCCAACTGTTATGCCATTACTGTTGCAATCTCTGCAAGGGCAAAACCGGAAAGCGTAACCACATGGCAGTGAAATCATTCAAAGTTACTGTAGCCAATCAGGTTGATTTGACACAAAAAAATGTATTATTTGTGGGAAAATGGTTACCAAACGGAGCCTAATATGAAATTCAAAAAACTTTCGCATATATAATAGTAAAAAAATGTATCCATTTCAACAACATTTGAATTTCAATTTCAGATTCAAATTTCAGAAAAAAAAAAAAAAAAGTAAAGCTACGATAGCAGTCTATTTTTTAAAATCGACTTGTCGGAGCCGAAAATGGTCAGTGACACGAGTCTGCCCGTGTGACTCAATCGAGCTCAAGTTGACAACCCAAAATAGAGCTCGGCCCGGGCACCCGAGCCGACGAACCACATTGACATCCCCATGCATGAATGAGAACGAAAAACCACTCAAAACTACCAAATTCGTCAATTTAAAAGGTAAAATTGCAACGGGTATGAAATTTTCCAGACCAAACCAGCATTGGCTCAACTCACGTGGACAAATAATTTTATAAAAAGATTTTTTTCTGAAAAAAATAAAACCATCAGAATCCCCAAAGGCAAAAAATACTGACCACAATCACTACCTTGTTTTAAAAAATAGCCCGAAGGTGCATGGCTCAGCTCATGGGCCATGTAGGGTATACAGAAGATAGACATTAAACCTCTAATTGCCAAAGCCTACTCTGCTGCTTCCATGCTAATTGCTTAATTTGATGTTGATCAAATTACAGAATAAGGGTTTCTACCATGAACTATAGGAGATAAAACTTTGCATATAAAGTAGATGCACAAAATGTGAACAAAATAAAGGAAATTAAAGTAAATAATTAATTGATTTGGAAACTTTGCATATAAAGTAGATGCACAAAATGTGAACAAAATAAAGGAAATTAAAGTAAATAATTAATTGCTTTGGAAGATGAAAAAAGAGCATTAATTCAACCAAGCAGAATGGAAATTACACACGTGATTGAAAATTTAAGTTAGGATCAATTGATTAATGAATAGCACAGCAGTTCTGGTTGGAATATAATAAAATTGCAGGTATTGAATAACTATAAGATGACAATTACAAAGAAGATTCAAATAAAAAAACCAAAAAATTGAAAGAGTATATCAGTCTACAGAGGCAATCTATGTCAGGCCTAGCTATCCAGGCTTTGAATGAGTCTTTTATTTTCTTTGTTTTTATTAGAAAAGCAAGCAAGTATTTTTATTTAAAAAAAAAAAAAAAATTGTTGAAGCTAGAGGCTGTGCACTGATCGTTCGATATTTCTTGTATTTTCCCCGACCAACTTGACACTTTTGTGTTAACATCAAACAAAATACAATGAACCTTTTTTTGGGAGATTTGATAAGTATGCAGTGTATGGATTGATTATATTATTAAAATCCCAAATAGTGCAACATTATAGCTACGGTTCATTATGTACACAAGTTAATGGCCTTAAGATCAAGATTTTTCAACTGAAAATCAAGTCATCTCACAATCAAAAGCAGCCTAGAAGTAGCATGGTCTTTTCCAATGAAAATATTCACTGGGTCGTAAAGTTTTAAATAGAAACCAAGCATTGCCCTCTAACAATTTCTTTCAATAACTAGAAATAGCAATACTAAATTTGCCCGAAATACATTTGAGACATAAGAGTACAATCTGGAAAGCATTATGAACCTGCAACCTCTAAGATTTAAAATTTGAATAGAAGCTGAATATTGCTCTCTAACAATTTTTTGCAATATGTAGCCATGAAAGCAGTAACATTGCCAAAATAAATTAGAGGCGTAGGGAGCACCTCTGGGATAGCTTTATGAGCTAGCTACCTCTGAGATGTAATTTGAGATGATCGCAAAGGCATTTGCAATCTCTTTGTTCATCTATCTTTCAGTTGCCGCTGAAAATCAAGCACGAAATGTTAATACCGAGACTTTTGTTAAACACTAGTCCAGCCATTCAATAATCCATAAACTAGAAAGTTCTTTGTGGCTCCATCAGTTGCACATTGAAAGAGGGGTAAATTAATATGATCCATGTGTTTGGGTGTGCAAATAAGTGATGACAGGGAAAGAAATAAATTTCCTCCTGTTTGGTATAATATGATATTTTCGTATATTCTGAATCAGAAGGAACTCAGAGAAAAGAGAAACAGAAGGCAAAAAGAAATAACTTACTCTTGGCCCACGATTGGTTACTTGAGGTTGTCTATTAGATAGGTGGTCTGATTCTTGTATCATCTCAGGACTGCTGAGCTTATAAAACGTCTCCAGAGCTCTTGTAACAAATGGACGCACTATATTTGCTTCCATAGCTGATAGATTTTTAAGCTGCAAAATGTGAAGGTTACAGCTCAGTAAAGAAAGTGTGTAAATGTATAGCTAACTGTAACATCGTCAAATATATGACTCTCTTAGTCCTGGACCATCTATCCTAAAATGTTCTAAATCATAATCCTTGCTTGTTCATTAATTACAAAATATACCTTCATAAATATTTCCTACGGGTTGGGTATGCATGGCATTACTGACATTTTCAACGAGGGCCAACAATTGTTTCCAGAGCCTTTGCTTTTATAAACTGGAAATGTTAAGCCATAAATAAATCCACACAAATTGTGGGACAATAAGTAATGGACAACAAATTAGGATATGTCACCGACAAAGGAATAATAGAACCGAATAGAAGCCTAATTGGGGTAAATTCAAAGGATTCAAGAAAATATGGCAACTAGTCTTGATTGATGGAAGTCTACACAACTTACTAAAATATGGTCCAAGAAAGATGCCTATATAAAGAGACCTTGCAGAAGGTAAAAGATCATTCTGGATTTGAAAGTGATCCCACCCAATTGCCTATAGTTTCCACATTCCAGTAATGAAGAGACTAGACTTATATTGAAAAGCAGATGACATGCTCCAATAAGTAATAACTAACACCAGCTACTAGCTATATAAAACCAAATTTTAAAATAATCAACCAAAATTGATCCTAGACCAAGGTTGCATTTGCTTTTTCACCATGTTATGATATAATGAGAATTAAAAAGAAAATGATACTATCTTAAAACAGAGAATAACCTGCTTCTAGAAGAATTCCCAACTTTTTCCTTTTCAAGAATATTAGGTTTCATTATACAAATCAAAACTACACAGACACGTTCATTATAGAAAATTTTCAAGGGATAGAAGAACCATACCCTCAGCGCATAAGTGCGTTCCCTCGAGATAATCTCCAAGCCAGTTCCAATTTTGTGAAAACGCACATCCTTGATGTCCTCAATTAGAGACCTTACCTGTTAGGAGATGAATCATCAAAATTCCTGAAAATATCAGGTGCTAGAAGAAATATATACAAATTCTACTTGACTAACCATATATACATCCTGAATGTCTTCTCGGGCACTACATCAATGAAAAACAGGAATCAAGACCAATTAAAATAAACTAGAATATTGTTCGTACTTACCAGGTGTAAAACTACTTACTAATCAAAAAGAAGCCTTGATATTTCTACATAGTGAAATGGTAGAGGCTGAAACTTTTCAGAATCTCGTTCTGCTTCCAGCACTTGTGTTAACTTTTCTGGTGGGAAAAACAGGATTCAAAATCAGTAAGAAATCTGTATCTTATAGCTTTGTGCTTAGTGTTAGGAATTGAAAATAAATAAAGCAAACTTGTAGATTGATACAGCACGTCAAGACCCGCAATGAAGTGGATATGCAGATTCATATACAAAAAATGCATTAATACAGCTTTTCTCTTTCAGAAAGACAACCCTTTCACAACGAGTCAAGATATAAATAACTCCAACATGGATAGAGATGACATTTTGATGTTTGCAGAGAAGAGTTGGAGTAGAAGAACTTGGCATAATTCAAATTACTGAAACTGTAAAAGTTACTGACTAAGCGGGAAACCTAAGTCAACTAAAAGTGCCAAACTTTTAAAACATGGAGAAAAGGAAGTACTGAAAATTGCACATACATGGGTGTAGCATAGCTCAAGCTGGCAAAAGAGAAATAATTCTATGACGTTGAGAAAATAGCTAAGAGAATCTAAATAGCACACGGGTGGATCTGCATTCAATTCTATACCCAAAAAATTCTACCATCTAATTAGTTCGAAAAAAATAAAAATAAATTCTTAGACTTAACCACTCATTGTGTAATTGAGAACTAAGTGGAAAAAGCTTTTGTTTTCAAATGGCCTCACCTATAGACATCCACTCGGGGGGCCGAATCATGCACTTGCCTCTCTTCTTCAACGCTACTGCTAACCACAGTGGCACCTGCGTTGCTATTTGTGGTCTAAAAGGACCAAAATCCCCCTAGAAATTAACCAAAAAAAGAAGGTAAAA